AAGAGTTTGGCCCTTAAGATGCTGGAGTGGAAGCTCCCTCAATGCTTTGCCAGCAGTAGTGAAGCCAGCTTTCGCCCTCCAAAGATCTCAGAAGTGTGCTATTTTCTGGTGGTGCCAACTTGTACATCAAGTGATATTGATTTGTTTGTTTAAAGGCTACGTTATTCATGCAATAAAAGATAGTTGTTTCCGAAGAAATAATCCACAGAGACTAGTCTCGGTGACTTAATCTGCAATGTAATTTGCCTTGAATTTGAGGCTTCCTAAAAATCTAGTAACACAAGGACGCACTTTGAGCACTATCTGACCCTAAAAAGTTGCCACGTTAAACTTCTTGGGCGTGCGAAGAAAACGCTCCTCCTCAATCGCGCCAACAGCTCATCACGTCCCTAGTAAGAAGGCTGCCACAGCCGCCATCTTACGGTTGGCACGGCTTCACTCGTGGGCAACAATTTAAACTCCAGCAATCTTCTTTAAACCTCCTTGTTTTGACCCAGTTCTCAAACTCTTCTGATCCGGCGAACGCAAGAGCAACCTACGTAACAAAGCTTGGGGGGACCCAGTGTCTAGCGCCTCCCATTTTTCAAACTCTCTAATGTTTATGTTGCATAAACACTGCTTCCATGGGTTGGTAGCGTCCCACGATAGAAAAATTTTTCTGAACACAGTTCATCTATGCCCCGTATGCATTTGAGTTCTTGTATATATGCGCTCCATTCTAACACTATTCATTATTTAAATAATGCACATTATGACATCTCTTGCACATATTTGCCGACATTTTCACCAAGTCTTGTATATTCTAAGTATATAACATGTACATTGTGTATACTGTGATAAGCGTGTGCATGTTAGACATTAGTAGCCTGTGCTAGGGACACCTTCGGACTTGGACCTTTTTTTTTTTTTAAGTGCCATGTATATTGTGCCTATTCATTTGTTTATGTAATTGGGCTTGTTGCATAGACACTGTTTCCATGTGTTTGTACGTCCTACGATGGAAGAATTCTTTTCGAGACAGTACGTCCTGTGCATGTTCTCTACAGCGCTCCTGCCGTGGTTTCGCGAGCAAAGCACCATCAAGAACTCGTTCGCGGCGTAATTTTTGTCAACGAGGCCTCTTCAATTGTGAGGCCCAAGGAACGGCTTCGTGCTTTCCCATAGTGGAGTACCAAGTACTCTAAATTGTTAGCTATACTTTCTCTAAACATATATCTTTGAAAAATATCATGTTTATTGTTCTGCAATTTCTTAGTGTGAGCGAAATTACGTCTGGTGTTTGTGTACAAGCAACCTGTAAATAGCGTATAAGTGCCCATAGTGTTTGCGCATACTGGTTCTATAACCTTTCCCTTGTGGACCCTTTCAGATTTCTCACGGGGATCCTCAAAGAAGGGAGCATTGCTAATAGTATACACGAGAAGACGTGATAGCGAAAACGAGGGACGTGATAAATAGTGCTTTGCTAGAAATTGGGGGACGCTTAAGCTTCGCCTTCAAGATTGGAACGAGATAGCGTAATTCGGCCCCTAGTGCACCCTTCAACCGCTAAGGGCATACTTAATAATATGTTTTGTTAAACACACACACACACACACGCACACACACATGCACACACACACACACGCGCGTGCGCGCATGCACACACACACACATGTACACACACGCATGCACACGCACGCACACACACGCACACGCATGCACACGCACGCACACACACACGCAGACACACACACGCAGAGATACACACGCACACACACACGCAGACAGACAGACACACACACACGCACACACACACACGCACACAACACACAAGCACACAAACGCAGACATACACACACGTACACACACACACACACACGCACACACACGTGCACACACACGCAGACACACACACACACACGCAGACAGACGCGTACACACACACGCACGCACACACGCACTCACACACACACACACCCACGCACACACACGCGCTTTGTCTGACGCGCGGTGCTCCAAGTTGGCCGGGATAGGCGAGGCGGTGCGGTGCCGCCTATAGCCTACGAGCGTTGGAATGAAGTAATGTGTCATGACAATTACAAGCATCCGTAGAGAACGATTCACCACCATTTTAGTATGCATGTTCTTCCACGTAAAATATGATTGACGATTGTTAGTGTAAACGCATGTGTTTTCTTATACCAACCTTATGCACGTCTCCCAGTACGTTTTACACTGTGAATAACATCGCCAAAGGTTTGAAGCGTCCACGTCTGGCTGCCACGGCTTACCTTTCAATTAGGTCCCAAGATGGCATCCGAAGAGAAAGTGCGACTGTCTTTCCTTACTCAGCGCATGGATGGTGCAAGCTTCGCTGTAGGTGAAGGCTGTCTTCGGCTCATGACACCACTTAGATCTGCTCTTGACTCACGAGAAATGGTCCACCACGGACGGAGTGTTTCTTGATGCCGGCTTACCTGCTAATCCTGAACTTCTCTCGAACCTCGTGAGCGTATAATTAGGGAGAAGGTTGCTTTATTGTGGCGACACTAAAAAGCATGATTCTTTATTCGTCTACAGATATGTAATGACTTCTTTAGAAGTGAATGATTCTTGTTGTCCTTTTAATTTGTTCCGTGTCCTGCCATGTTCGGGCACTTTCACGGCATATATACTCTATGTTTCTCTTCTTCAAAACTTATGTTGTCATTACAATCAGCCTTCTCAATTCAGTATTGTTCTTGCATGAAGAAAAAAAACGACGAAATTTAAAAATACATAAGACGCTGATTTTCGAACAGCGTAGAGCAATACCTTGACCATTTAAATACGAACGTTCCGTGTTTGTCCATGATATACCTATTCCGTATTTGTTCACAGCGGTAGGCGCCGTCGACATACTGACGTGTTCGTAGCGATGTCGCGGCACTCAAGCTCCCCACTGCCTTCTATGTACCACGACAAGTGGTACATTAAAAAAAAGGGCGTGTGCGTTGGGTCATGTTTAGCTCCAGTCCTCAGAGATGTTTTATGAGCTCGTTATGACAAGCTCCCCACTGCTTCTATGTACCACGACAAGTGGTACATTAAAAAAAAGGGCGTGTGCATTGGGTCATGTTTAGCTCCAGTCCTCAGAGATGTTTTATGAGCTCGTTATGACAAGCGCATACAAGCGAGGCTTGCAGAGACAAATACCATTAAAGTGTTCCGCTAGCTTGGTAATTTTTTTCACTCGTTCATAGAGCAAAAAAGTGTAACACACGGTAGAATGCCGATGATATTTTTAGCAATTTTTTTCTAAGAACATGACTAATCGACAGCTGACGACGGAATTCTCTGAGAATAACCATCTTAGACTTATAGATACGGAGCATATGTGTGCTGCCAGTACCCTCTCAGAGAGCCCTGCTACGTTGCAGCTTGGTGTACACTCCAAGCTTGTTAAGCGAGGAATTGCGAAAGCATGTATGATGGCATCATTGCCAAGGTCGTGCCACCACCAGGTCCAGAGCAGTTTTGGCAACCAAGTTAACACGCTTAACAATTAAAGCAGGCTTCCCTGATCAATTGCTCTCGGACATAGCAGAGTCGCTTCTCAATGAATTGAGGCAGGGAAAAAAATACAAAGCACGCAACTCAGGGAGAGCCAAAGCCTAAAATTTCAGACAAACCTTATGTGCACAATTTCTCGCACTGCTTAAAAATAATTGTTGAATGAATAGGTCTGAAGGCTGTTTTCACGGCAAGAAACAAGCTAGGGTCCCTATGCAAAATACCCAACTCCGAGACACCTTCAAGTGTTGGGTGTAATAATAAGCTTGTAAAAATGTTCGTACAATGTAATTAGGCAGCGTGTATCACATTTCTTTATCATGTTTTCGATACTACATCGGTCAGACGGGGCGTTGTCTCAATGATCACCTTATATAAGGAGCACGCAAATCGCATCCGCGGATCAGTTGGCAGCCGCTTGGCAACTCACTGTGCCAATTGTGGGTGCAACTCGATGTATGATGAACATCAAGAAATGGCAAGATATAGGAACAAGAGGGCATGGGAAAGACATGAAGCGTTTTTGATTCACAAGGCAGTAATTGAGCGTGTAAGTGCCCCATCTGTTAACTTCAATGAGTACAAGTGTCTTTTCAGTTAAAATGTGTTATCAAGTTCCCAAAAAGACATTCTGCGCATGCGCAATCATTCTCCCTCTCCCTGTGTGGTGTGTCATATCCTCGCTCCCTTGATTGTATGTATATTTCCGCCATCTGAGCAATAAATTGCTGCTAAGTGTGCGCTCTGCTTCTTTCCGAAACGTTCTGCGCATTAAGAAATTATATATATATATATATATATATATATATATATATATATATATATATATATATGTATATATATATATATATATATATATATATATATATATATATATATAACAATGTCTCAGTATTTTGGTGGCGCCTACCACTGTGAGGGAACATGGAATAGGTCCATAAGGGGACAAACAACTCCTAAAATACCAATTTGACAATTTGAAATCCAATAGGCTGAACGACGCATTTATTCTGGCAAAAAATGACGCATAACAGATCCATGGCTTAGAATAAATTCTCCTCACCATAACATCCGAGATAACGGGACTCTTAATCTCTTAATTTTTAGTTACTTTAACGATTTAATTTATTGTTCATTATTATCTATTGTTTATTGGTTTCTGTGGCAGCTTTTTGTCTGCGCTTACGTCACAGCAACGGCCACCATCTACTCTGCCCCGTGTACACCGAGATTTAAAGCTTGCTAAACGAGAAACCACACCATCACCAGCTATACGACATCGCCGAAAATGCTGCAAGAGAGGGACTTAGTCAAATCGAAGTTTTGGTGACAGTTGGTATAGAACTGCAGCAATATTTCCCAGAAACTGGCGTCCCTTGCGGCAGATACAACAAGCGTTCCTACGAAAGCACAGAAATCGACAGCCAACTTACAAAGAACGAGAAAGAAAGACAAGAGTCAGTGAATTTCCTTGTAGTAGTTTTTCTCACATTTTATTTACCAAAAATAGATTCCATCTGATTGGCAGACCGTGTATGGACAATGCTGAGCGCAGCGCCATTTCTTCGTACACAGCACTCGTCAGAGTCTCCCACACATTTTACGTTTTGACCACGACAGTGACAACAACGATTTAGGTTCTTTCTTTTTTTTCACCATTTATTCGCATTGGCGTCACTGCGGAGTCTCCGAGTCAATTATTGAAATGTAGAAAAACAATTGAAAAAATTTGGCCGAACGTGTGCGCCAGACGCGCGTGCTCATGAGCGAGACACACCCGAACACATTTGCAAGTTTACTTCGACGAAGAATAAGTAGACACATTTTCGCCACATTCTCTTTTCTTCACGTTTTCACGCGTCACATATGTGTGTTCATTCGAGGAAGATTGAAAGAATGCACACTTTTTCAAAACTTGCCAAGCCTGCCAGCCGCAGAAACAACAGGGGCAGTCAAGTACAGAATCATAAGAGTGGTAAAAGTACTAACAGTAAGCAATGCTCGACATTTAATTCTTGTAGCTGCCGTAAAAAAAAAAAAAGAAAACAGCCGACTTCCGAGTCAGTTGTTAACATTTGCTTATGGTGCATCATACAAGTGATTAGCGTTACAACACGTGGGTGCGTCAAAACCAGACATGACGACATCGCCGAGTCGTAGTTACATTTCAAGCATAAAAAAGTACGCGCTTTCAAAGGTGTGTGCTTCAAACTAAACTCGTTACGTGCCAAAACAGCACCTAAAGCGCTTGCGCCTACAAAAACTACAGGATACTCCCAGACAACAAGCCCATTTACCGTGAAAATTGTACGATTTACATTTTTATACCACCTTCAGGAAGCAAAAAGAAGAAGAAAATGGCGCTTTCGCACTTTACAAAAGTAAGAGCCGCCTATACTGCCTACGCAGCAGGGTCGGCGACAATGTTGACCTCACGGGCGAATGTCAGTAGTGAACACGCGATCCATTTCAACTTTCACTCCATCTTGAAAGAACCGTGACAACGATCAGGCACTTTCGAGTTGTCTAAACCCTCAACCTACTTTGGCCCACTCAAGCAGGCCGGTGTTTACAGGTTACTGCCACCGGTGACAATTTTGGCACGGAGCCCAAATGAGCATATCAGTGTACGGTTTTACTCGCAAAACCGACGAACATGGTACAATGTGCTGTGCGTGTGACCATGGGAAGGAAGCGATTCGCATGGCTCCGCTCAGACAGCGAGGCGAACCAAGTTTCACTGCGCAAGGCGCTCTACGTAAAAGAGTCCCCTAGGATTTGCGAAAAATTTGGACGGCATGGGTGGTAAATCAGTGTACAGCAAGTATGTGAGGATCACCGAACAAAGGGGTATGAATCCTAGTGTAACCGTTGTGCGAGGGTCCATACATAGCGAGGGAAGAAACGCAAAATCATCTGTGGCGTAGCATTTCGCACAGACTGATAGATAGCTCTTCAAGACTACCACTACCTTTAGAGACGAAACACAAACCTAAGCAAATACGCTACAGAAGAGAAGTGCAAGTATCAGACATCGACCTAAAGAACAGTAGCTTTTCAGCGACTAACAGCGTTCGAGTTATCTCGTCAAACGGCCGGAAACTGAAACTTGCGCCAAGGCGACCGTTATTCGACTTCGCCTCACTAGATGGCGCAGCCTGACGAGCCCGTTCGTGAGCGGCGCGTCATTTGAAGGATTGGTGCATGACTTACCTTACTGGGTCAGCGCTAGACGTGAACTACGACGAACAGGACAAAACGGTATCAAAATTTGCTTAACTTTTTGAGGGTCAGCAAAGAAATGTTTGTACAGCATGTGTTCACGTCACTTTGTGTGTGTTTGGGGCGGGGGGCATACACAGTGCGTGGGAAGACTGCCTTTCCATTCGGCAGGCCAGACAGAAATTTTACAACGTCACTCTTTCATCATAAAATTTCATAAAATTAAGCCCAAAAATGTAGAGTTCTCGCGTTGACTAACGCATATCAAGAAATCATTCCTACCCTGTCCACCGGCATTTATCATTTGCTGTCATTTCAAGAGGGCGAAAAAAAAAATAACGCTGTCGGACGAAGCACTTACAATGCACGGACAAACGTTTTTCATTGTCGGTATTTTACCGTTTTCAGCAGTTTCGTTTCTTGTAACGCAATCGTAGCGTTAACTTCGTTAGCTGTGGATGTATTTTGTGAGAACGGTGAGCTTGAACGGCGCTCAATGCTTTCGGTAGATGCTGAGGTGCCCGGTCACCCCGCGCATCCCGTATTAAAGATCGATGATAGCATTCTAATTGGTCAATAGCGTCTGTAGGTTGACATTTATAACAAAAAAGCTCGCAGCGTTACGCGAGAGATTCAGCGACTTCAGCATCCTTACACCAAGTTTTGTACAGTTTAGTCGTTTGTAGATGTCAACGTGGGGAAAAAAATGGGCAGAGAACATGGGATAAGACGTGTATTTAGGTACGACGATCGGCTCGGAACACTCTGCGAACTCCCAACAGACACGCCATACTTGGTCACGTGACCATTCCGAGCTCACCTACGTACCGATAATGCGTCTTCCAATGAGTCTGCTTTGATAGCTACAGCGCTTCTTACCGGTCCCTTCGACTCTGCGGTCATCGTGTGCATGGGTCGTCGAAGTTTGTAGCGTTAGCGTACGACGTCATCACACGGTGCGACTGCTGACCGCTTAATACCGAACGCTTTATAGAAAAGCACGTCACGACCTTCTTACGCTTTCGCGCAATCCGTTAACCAGCGCTCGATAACAAGACATTGCCACAAACACGCATCTCCGCACCAGTTCATGGCTACACAACTTGCGCACTCCTCTCCCCTTGAGGGAGCATGCACAGCTCACGCCATTCGCCAGACGTCGAAGAGACCAACCTCGGACAGTGGACAGTCTTCGTGCTTATCCTACGTACGACGCCTATCCAGAACACAACCGCTACGCTAGTCGAGAGGATGCAAGCGGGTTGACACTTAGGCTGACAACGTTGCGGCAGTGATCAATTTGATCCCGTATAGATTCGTTTTCAGCGTTCAGTTGCGACTGAACTCTTATCCAGCAGCCGATGCCGTTCTGGGCCGGTCAAATGCACGAAGCACGGATTCCTTCAACGTGGTCAACATAAGTCCGCGGGAAACAAGGCGGTTGCATCGCCTTGCGGCTGCATTATTGAGAAATATAGCATTCCGGAGGTATGATGAAAACGAGAGTGCTACGTTTAGTCCAGTTCGGCATAGCACTTCCCCACGTGTCGTTGTAAGTGCCTCTCGGTAAATAATCAGCGCGTAGTTGTGCTCTGGACTTGGGCAACAATCGACCTCGGCCTTGACCCGAACGAGGCGCCGTCTTACGTGGGCACGTACCACTCTATATACTTTCCGTGCTGCGACGAACGGTGCTTACAGGTGGGACCGTCGGTCGCGTTACTCGCATAGAAACGACAGGCCCCCACCCGTGGGTCTTGGATGGACGGCTCGCTTCGCGAAGCCTGCCTCTCCGAGAGCTTCGTTCACGTTAAGGGTGGGGACTTGATTCGGCGTGCATCCACAGCAACAGTTTAGCGCGCAAAGGACGCAGTAGAAGAAGCGACACCACAACAGCGTTGTGTTTTAATGTCATTACTTATGGTCCGTGCACAGGACGGCGTACAACGTCTTTAGTGCGCTTAAATGTTGCTACAGATTACCAACAGGCTCGAGCACATGGTTTTCAATGTACATTCACTGCACAGCACATGCGGTTGTGAAATCTCGACAACGGTTTCTTACAAAAGGATAAAAAAAAAAACGGTTTGAAACAAACAAAAACATGGAACGTCGGCGCGCGGAGTTGCGTCGCAGCGGCCCGCCCTCCTAGAGCAGGGAGGAGGCGCCGTGCTGCATACGACTGGTGGACGCGGTGTCGTCCACGTTGTTCGGCGTGTGCCTGCTGCCGCCGGTCGAGGTCGCCGGTTCGGGGCAGAAGAGTCCTTCCTCGAGGAAGACGTCGTCCTCGTCTCCCGGCGCGTGGCAGCGGATGTGCTGCAGGAAGACGGCGCGTCGCCGCTTCTCCAGGATCTCGTCCATGGCCAGCCGCCGGTCGAGCGTCGCCAGGGTGTGCATGTAGTCGGTCGTGTTGAGCCGGTCGCGCGAGAAGAGGCGGGACCGGGCAGCGCCGTTCAGCGCCAGGGCCGACGACGACGACGCCTGCTGGGCGATGCTCCCGCCTGGGTCAGCGAGACAAAAAATAGAAACGAAAACATTGTCATGTATGGTCGGGGCACAAAAGGTATAATGACAAAAACAAAAACAGCGACGACGACCGCAACATCAACAGCAATAAGATATCGTTGATAATATTCTTAATAATCAATCTATATAACACAGATAACACGTTTCTTTCCTTTTTCTTTGGCACAAGAGGCACGTATTTCGATATACGCCAAAATAATCTTGTGTTTACGTAACATTGGAATAAATACAATCATTTGACAGGGTGTTTAAAACTAGTGGCTTCCCACTTACAATGTGCAAGCTCGAATGACCAATCTTGCAACTAACTCATGTAGAACGTGTTACGCGTTGACCAGCAGTTGTGTAGATTCTGGGACAGCAGCGCGGAGAAACCACTTGGTGACTAAGAAAAAAAAACAACAATGAAGCCCGCCTTGTCTATCTCGTTGCTTTCGCACTCAAAATATTCCCATTAGCTATGCACCATATCGGCGAAATTCAAGTTTTCTTAGTCCAAAGAAGGGGCGCTTTGGTTTGTCGTTCTTCGTTGAGGTGTATACTAAATGTATATATTGATGCGCTCACCGGAAACAGCATCAATCATCACGTAATCGCAATCTCTCTCGTTTTACCCTATACACTCGACGATGGCGCAAGCAAAACGACGCCCACAGCGGAGGGAAACCGAGAGCAGAAACAACAAAAGGAAACTTTCCCTTCTCAACTGTCACGCACCTCTCGCTAATAGACGTCGCGGAAATGCATTCCTATCTACAGTACGTTTCTATATATTACAAATGGCGAGCTTCACGTCAACCACACTTGCACAGGCATTTCACTTCTTGACGCACTCTTTATACGTGCTCAAACAATGGGATATTCATACACCTGTTCACATAGCCCCGACAAAGCATCTGCTTCTTCGTTCCGCTTGCAGTGGGCCTTCCAGTCGTACTTCCCGGTCCTAAATTCTACACTCCTCAAACCTACAGGAACTAAAACGACAGTCTATATGGGTAGCTGTGTTACCCGAAGGATAGTGGTTGAGACGCGTTATCGAAATGCACACCACGAATGGCTCATCCCGGAACCTAAGAAAATCTATTTTCTAAAGTGTACCACAGCACGCTCTAAATCATTGTCTCGTATCGCAACTGCAAACTGAAACTCGAAACTAAGGCCGCTTTTAAACACCGACAAACCAGGAACTAAACTAAACGACAAGGTTTTCACGCACCAGTGAAATCTCCGTGTGTCTCGTGGCCGCGAGACCACGAAGCAGTTAAAAAAACAGAGAAGATAAAAAAAAAGTAAACAGCGAAGTACGGGAAGGTACGCGGCGTGTCCTGAAGCGACGCCACCGAAATTCGCTCGGAACAAAGGCACCCCCTACGTCTTCCACGCTATATTTTTAGGCTTCTGTCTTCCCCGAGTGCCGGCTCCTCCGCACTGCGGCACTGCTAGGCGGTTCGCGTGTGTTTATGTAGGACTTCTTTAGCAGCTACAACGTCGGCGCAGGTATACGTAGAGCGCGCCGTGTCGTCACGCTAGTTGGGCGGCCGAGGCAAGAAACTGCGGTCACGGGCAACCAGGAGCATATAGACTCGGCTTGTCTTCGGTCGACTGCGCGAACCACCTGCGCATATTCGCGGCCGAGAGCACCACGAGAATGCGCTGCACTGACCGACAGAATCACCTTGCCTGTGCATCTACGGCATGCGCATTCTTCCACAGTCTGAAAGCGCGAGCATCCCCAGCAAGTGCGGCGCGCGCGCGTTTTCGTCGGACACGCCTGGCCGATCAGGTCTTCTCCGCGGTTCAGAAAACGGAGCTAAGCAGAAGTAAAGAAGGGATGCACATGCCTCGCCAATGCCGCTTTGCATTTTCACGGGAAGAATCTGGGAACGGATAAAAAAAGAACGCGCTGGAGATAAGGAACAGTCAACGGGCCGCCGACGCAGCTCTGGGTAGGGAATGTATTTGTGCCACCAGGAAAGGAGTTCACCGCCTGTGTACAGCCTCCCTCGCACTTACCCTCCCCCGTCCCTCGCACACACGCACAGACACACTCAAGCGCGGCTCCTTTAGATGATTCCTCTTATAGAGAAAAAAAAAAACGCGTTCACTTCCTGAATTTTCGATCTTGTTCATCGCGATACCGCAACATGGTATAAGATCACGCCTGCGTGCTCAGGAAACCACGCGAATTCCACGAAGGACCCCCACCCTAGCACAGAGGTCGGCACTTTTCAAACGTGACGCTGACGCTAATGCCGGGCGTTTCTCCATGCCATACAGAAGGGCTTGCAAAGTATGGTAGCTCGGCGAAGGCAAAACCAAATAAAGTATAATTTAATACTTTAATAGAAATGCGCTCGAAGTAGTGTGTAAATAAATAAGAAGCGAGTTATCGAGGTACCCGGAACCTGAGAGTCTTTCTCCTTTTTTTTTTCACCCTATATTTTCGCTAACCAGTCAGGCGGCCTCTTTTCCGCTGATCTGTCGGAGATCGCATGTGACTCTCAGCGGGATATGGCGGAAGCCTTTCAGCATAGAAATCGTGCAGACATTTTCGCTTGCTGTGATAGCTAGTACTACAATAGCTAACCAAATCAAAACCAGGCGAACCATAAAAGCTCGCGTTGTATCAGACGAGCATCTCCGTCAAGTTTCTACGGGGAGATATTGAAACAAGAGGTTAACTTAGACTGTATGTTACACTACGCCAGCAAGCGGAGCCACAACAGCAATGTAGACCGGAAGACACTTCTTTCTCTTCTTGGTCTGCTAGACCTAGACAAAACGTGGTGCTTATCCGCTCGCAAGGCACGTTCAACCGGCATGTTCGAATTCAGAGCAGTTGTTACGTCTAAGTAAGACGGCTTAGCACATTCGGTGGGCCCAATTACCATATTCGCTTTAATAACACAGTGCGCTCAAGCGGAGTACACCGGCAACACTACTGTTCTTCATCTGAGCCCGTTCTGCGAATGACCTCGAAAATTTGCGATAAGCTCTTCACTGTAAACATATTTCATTCTTGCTCCCGCACAATAAAATTCCACACACCCCTGGTGGACGCATGCTTAGCTTCAGTGGATTTTTAGCTCTCCTTGCACACTTATGTCTTTCACTCTCTCTCTATATATATTATTATACATGAAAATAGAGAAAGGGCAAAGAGAGAGACACTGTACCATAGCGCAGTGCCAACGCCCAACACCACTTTTCCAAAGTGCACTCCCTGATAAGACGATCTCAAGACGGGGCGTCTTCCGCCTGGACAAGGCACATCCACATATATATATATTTTTTTGAGCTTGGCACGCAAGCACGCACAATAGCGAGCGCATGCACCCCACGCATAAACGAGCAGGTAATGCGGCACGCCGCTTCCGGCGCGGCGCTCGCGAGACCACTCGGCGCACGTGGTTTATGACGGTGTATACTGCACGTACACCGCTTATCAGCACTGGCCTCGATACCGCAGGAGAAGGTGGCTCTACAAGACGCAAAGAAACGACGACGCACAGGTATGCGTTACTGTTGTTTGCACTGCGCTCGGAAGAAAGAGAATGCGCATAATTCTTCGTCGTCTCCGCGGAAGTGAGTTGCGTTATAAGGACGAGGCGTCGGCGAGGGCTATGAAATAGCTTAAGAAGATAAAGGCGGTCAGAGATGCGCGGTACATACTTCCGGGTCTTACTTCTTGCACAACTCATAAATGCATTACCTGAGTATTACTTCCCCACCTCTTCTCTACATCGCCTTTTTTTTTCATCGTGCAGTTGCTTTCGGAACTTGAGGCGGCAGTGAATAAAACCAGAACAGCGGTCCGCAGTCAATAAAACCCTCGCGACGCTGTCACTCTGCAACGGGCATACAGGCCAAGTGGACCTGCATCAGGTCCTCAATCTGCGCGCACGATTCCGGGCTTCTGATTGTGACATCGACTCGGCAAACAAACGCATACAGATATGGCTTTTCTGCAGTATTCCTGTTCACGACAAATGCTTTCTTTCTTTCTTTCTTTCTTTCTTTTTTTCTTTCTTTTCAGTCGAAATTCTCCCCAGCGGCATCTCAGCAGCACGAGTAGCATTAAAAAAAAAAAAATCAAAGCAGCTACGTAACATTCCTCTCCGAGACAGTTCACCACGCACAGCCATTTTCGCGTGCCTCTTACAAGCCGCGATTTTCCTTAATCGGTCCCCACCGCGCTGTCTGGGCTTTTCCCCATATTCGCCACACTTCTGATTTTCATCTTTTCCGTTCACTTATAGAAGCAGAGATTGGGCCCACTAGCACGTACGCTTTGCCGCAATTCATATAGAGCTTCTCACATCGCGTTGCTTCATCGCATCGTGGCGCCGTTGTTTGCTTCAGCACAAATAAACGAGAGAAACATCGAGAGACAGACAGACAAAGAACTTTAATGATGTTCTCAGGAGATTCATTTTCCTTCCTCAACCTGTCCCGAGGCTACTGCTTCAGAGCAACGCGATGAAGTGTACGAGCGGTAGCGATTCAGGTTTTGTAGTACTTCATTTAGTTTCATTTTTTTTTCTTTAGCAACCCACCCTCCCCCACACCGGAACGTGCCGTCCTATATAAGTGGACGGAACTACTTTCCTGTTGTTAGCCCCGGTCGTTCATTTCGGCAACGCACGCATGAATCTGTCTGCTGGAAAAGATTCAGCTGCGCGTAATCACAGGCGTCGCGCCTTGATTGCTTTTCGTAAATGTGCAGCCGGTGCTAAAACATCATTATTAGTCATTCTTTGTATTATTATTTCTTGAACTCTTGATTTCATTGTGTACTCGTGCGAATGTTGCCATTCGTCAGAGTTACATGATAAGTTTAGACTTGCATTCTTCGAAAACTTCTTCCTTTTAAACAAAAATTTAAAATGGTCGATTACCAGAAAATAAATAACAAGTCCCCGAATTAAAAAAAAATGAAGTGACAGCTCGCACGCTACCCGTGGGACAAATG